TAAACCCAAAACCTAACCCCTAAGCCCAGGTGAAGGCGTGTTGCCCTAAACCCTTTACCCTAAACCCAGGTGGTTGCCATGTCAGTCTGGGGCATTTCAGTGTTTAGGGTATTTGGGGCTGTTTATGGTTTAGTGTAGAGCGTTTAGTGGCGCATGTAGGCTATGTAGGGTCTAGGCCGCTTGGGGCATTTATGGCAGGGAAGGGTTTAGGGGCTAGTAAGGCGCTCGGGTTTGGGTTAGAGTATCCAGGGGTATGTTAGGGCATCTGGAGCTTAGCGTCATTTTAGGGCACTTAGAGCTTAAAGTGAGCGTTTAGGGTATGTACCTGACAGACCCTAAATCTGAAACCCTAAACCCTCAACCCCGCCTCCTTGCGCCATGCCATACCCCTGCAGGCCATAGGCCGGGTCCATCTCGCAAGAGCCGAACGTTGGGGTTTAGGGTTTAGGGTTTAGGGTTTAGGGTTTAGGGCTTAGGGCTTAGGGCTTAGGGCTTAGGGTTTAGGGTTTAGGGTGGTCAACGGACTAAACGCGGGACCCTTATAAGGGACCTTGGGGATAGGGTTTCAGGGTTTGGGGCTCAAGTGTTCTTGCGGTGCCCCTAAGCCCTAAGCTCTATGGCCCTAAACCCTAAACCCTAAACCCTAAACCCTAAACCCTAAACCCTAAACCCTAAACCCTAAACCCTAAACCCTAAACCCTAAACCCTAAACCCTAAACCCTGAACCTTCTTTTTTCGCATAGTTTAGGGCCTAGGATTTGGGCTCAGAGGGTGTGAGGAGGAGAGGAGGGTGGGATGTCCCTAAATGCTGCATAGGTTGAGCGGTTTGCAGGTTTGAGGATTTAGGGATAAGGGGTCTGTAGGGTTTAGGGCTTAGGTTTTAGGGTTTAAGGTTTAGAAGTTGCAGGGCATAAAGGTTTAAGGGTTTTGGATATTGGGAAGACGGAAAGGTTCGAGGGCTTAAGGGTTCAAGATGTTGGAAGAAAAGGGGTTTGAGGGCAGGGTCCTAAACCCTAAACCCTAAACCCTAAACCTTAAACCCTAAACCCTAAACCCTAAACTGTAAACCCTAAACCCTAAACCCTAAACCCTAAACCCAAAAAGCTCCAGACGGCGAAGGGCTCTCTCGAACCCCAAACCTACACCGTTCTTGGGGTTTCAAGTTCAGGGCCTGGGGCTTAGGAGCCTTCAACCCTAAACCCTAAACCCGAAACCCTAAACCCGACACCCTAAACCCAAAACCCTGAAAGCCCTAAAGTCCCTAGCAACCCAAAAAACACTCCAAGACCCTCAAGATCCCTACCAAAACCCCTAACCCCTAACCCCTAACCCTAAACCCTAAACCCTAAACCCTAAAACCTAAACCCTAAACCCTAAACCCTCAACCCTCAACCTCGCCCACCGGGCCTCGCCGTCGGCGCCCGGGAGTTGGGCAGACGCGCGGCGTGCGTGTCAGCGCATAGGGCACATCTATAAGATCTCTAGGGTTTAGGGTTTAGGGTTTAGGGGCTGTCAGGCCTATAGGGTTCGGGGTTTCCAGTGTTTAGGGCTGGGTTTTAAGGCTTGCGGGGTGCGAGGCCTTCGGGAAGACGTCCTTTTGTCGTGAGAGCGTGGAGGTTTAGGGTTTAGGGTTTAGGGTTTAGGGTTTAGGGTTTAGGGTTTAGGGTTTAGGGTTTAGGGTTTAGGGTTGAGGATCTCATCTTGAAGCTGTCAAAGTTTGATGTTGGGGGTGGCTTTGGGGTTGAGGGTTGCAATTTCTTACTTAAGCCATACCTGAGGTCGGCTCATGGTGCAGGAAACGACATGGTCAAGCCTCCAAAAACCCAAAACCCAAAACCCAAAACCCTAAACCCTAAACCCTAAACCCTAAACCCTAGCCCTAAACCCTAAACCCCAAGGCCTGGGCCCTCTGCTGCTCGCGGTGATATTCGGCCCAAAGACACTCAGGGTTTAGGGCGGAGGGGCGCACTAAAACCCCAAAACCCATAAACCCCGGAACCCAGTAACCTTAACTCCACTGCCAGGGCTTAGGGTGGAGGGTTTAGGGTTTAGGGTTTAGGGTTTAGGGTTTAGGGTTTAGGGTTTAGGGTTTAGGGTTTAGGGCTTTGGGCTGAGAGCTTTTCGGGATTTTAGAGGTCTAGGGACCCAGAGGGGCTTGGAGACTTAGAGGTGTAGGGATTCGGGAAGGCAGCCATCGACATCTGAACCCTAAACCCTAAACCCTAAACCCTTAACCCTAAACCCTAAACCCGAAATCCTAAACCCTAAACCCTCAACCCTAAGCCTCAGATCCTACAGTAGGGGCGTTGCGTTCCAAAGTCGACTCGCAAGTGCGGAGAACCCGTTTAGGGTTGAGGCTTTGGGGGTTTAGGGTTATGGGTTTAGGGTTTTAGGCAAAAAAAAACGGCAAAAAAACCCTAAAAGATCGGGGTTTAGGGTTTAGGGTTTAGGGTTTAGGGTTTAGGGTTTAGGGTTTAGGGTTTAGGGCTTCAGACCCTTAAAGCCCAAACTCCTGGAGGCGCTTTCTCCTCATCGCCAGCTCTCTGGCTGATCCACAGTGAGCTTCACGGGCGACAGGAAGACTTTCTGCGACCAACAGGGGGGGATTTAGGGTTGAGGGTTTAGGGTTTGGGGTTTAGGGTTTGGGGTTTAGGGTTTGGGGTTTAGGGTTGGGGTTTAGGGCTTGGGGTCTGAGTAGGCCACTAAACCCCCAGCGACCGAAACCCAAAAACCCTGTAGAGATAACGTCAGTCGCAGTTCTTCGAGATGGGCCCCCAATGTATTGAGTCCCCTGAAGGCTTCCCTTTAAAAGGCTGCTCGCCAGAAATATCCTGAGGTCCAAGAAGATGTTCACGCAAGCAATTGGCTGAAACTACCAGGGGTTTAGGGTTTTGGGGTTCAGGGTTTAAGGTTTGGGGTTTAGGGTTTGGGGTTTAGGGTTTGGGGTTCAGGGTTTAGGGTTTGGGGTTTAGGGTGGCTTGCAAGAAGATGCGTGTAATCCCTAAAAAGTGAAAGACCCGCAAGTCGGTGTTGAACCCGGTGGTGTGTAGGTCTGCATCTTCTCGGCGTTGACCGCCCCCCCCCCCCCCCCCACCCTCCACCACCCCCCCCCCCCCCCCCCCCCCACCCCCCCCCCCCCACTCCCCCCCCCCCCCCCCCCCCCCCTCCCCCCCCCCCCCCCCCCCCCCCCCCCCCCCCACCCCCCCCCCCCCTCCCCCCCCCCCCCCCCCCCCCCACCCCCAAAAAAAAAAAACATCCATTTCCTAAATATTATATAATACTACAAGTAATAAGTAATCGATAGTAATGTACAGTAAAGTAATAGTAATAGCTACTTAGTAATAGTATAGTAATAGTAAATCGTAATAGTAATCGTTAATAGTAATAGTAATAGTAATAGTAATAGTAATAGTAATAGTAATAGTAATAGTAATAGTAATAGTAATAGTAATAGTAATAGTAATAATACTAATAATAATATCATATAAAATTTAATGGAATACAATATAACATACACATGTGTATATAATATAGTATGTGTATATATACATATAACGATACATATATATATATATACATACACACATATATTTATGTTATATTATAGTATATTATATTGTATGATATTATATTATATTGTATATGTTTGCACCTGAACTCTAACTCACTACTGAAACGCTAGACTCTACATCCCATCCACCCCTGAACAAGAAGCCCAAATGCCTGCATCACCAGCGCATCCCACGCCACAAGTCACAATAAAGCCACAACCCCTCCCCCCCCCCCCCCCCCCCCCCCCCCCCAGCCCAAAACCCCATTCGCTAAACCCTAAACCCTAAACCCTAAACCCTAAACCCTAAACCCTAAACCCTAAACCCTAAACCCTAACCCCCTATTCTCTAAACCCTAAACTCTACCCTTCCTCCCCACCCCACTCCTCCCTCCTCGAGAACACAAAAAGAAAAGACAAGAAGGTCCAGGCCTCGTCCGTGGCCTCCTCTCCCTGCAATGCAATGGGGTCTAGGGTTTAGGGTTTAGGGTTTAGGGCAATGGCTTCGAACTCCGGTCAAGAAGCTGCAAAGGCTTAGACATTCGAGCTGCCACAGGTTAGATCCTGGCTGTTTCTGAGTCATTGAGGGAATGTGGCCCTACTTTTAACCTTTCAGGAATTATATAAAGGGACGTTCCTCACTTCGAACCGGGGGGGTATTTAGGGTTCCAGGGGTATGGGCTCTGGGCCTGTCTTGGGGCTTTGAAGAAATTGGGCCCTGGGTGCTTGGTAGAGTCTGGGGCGTTCCGCGGCTTTCGACGCTGAAAAGGTTCTCGCGCTCACAGCCCTAAGGCCCCAAGGCCTAGGACCCCAAGCCCGAAGCCTGCAAAGCCCAAGCCCCGAAACCTGTCAACCCTAGATGTTAAACCCTAGAGGCATCGCGGCTTGCTGTGGGGGTTCAAGGTCTTTTGTGGCTTCAAGGTTTAGGGTTTCGGGTTTTGGGGGTTTGCAGCTGTGTGGCGGTTCTCTTAAGGGCTGGACTCTTCTGGGGCTTTAGGCGCTTCGAGCATCGGCTTCGAGACATATTTCAGCCCTTCTGAGCCCTAAATCTAAAGCCAGAAGCCTCAAATCCTACACTTTTGCAACCTTAAACCCGATCATGCTAAAAACCCTAAACCCTGAATACCCTCAACCCCAACCCTGAATTCCAAAACTGCCAGCTCCTTGCCTTCTAGGGTTTAGGGTTTAGGTGTTTAGGTGTTTAGGTGTTTAGGAGTTTAGGTGTTTAGGGTTTAGGGTTTTGGGGTTTAGGGTTTAGGGTTTAGGGTTTTAGGGTTTAGGGGTTTAAGGGTTTAGGGGTTTAGGGCAAAACGAGTTTTGCATCTTGAAGTCCTTCATGGCTAATCTTAAGACCGGGCCTCAGCCTTCTCAACAAAGGTACCAAGTGTTGACAAGGCCCGGACTTGGATGAGTACATAGAATCCCAATTCTAACGACTAACTATTACAACCTACTTGGCGGACGTAATAGCCAGTGTTGTTGTAGTCCAGCAGAGCCCCCCTTGATCTCCAGCACATGGCGAGCATGGCATCACCAATGGATAGTGGCTTGTCCATACATCTCGCCAGGGACGAGTGGAGTAGTTCTTGATGGAGTTGTCCATCCGTCGCTTTTCACGGCGAGCGAACAAATCGCCAATGGCCAGCGACATCGTAAGGATCTGATATCCAACATCGTCCGAGGCATCCCTTTCATGATGGTACTCCAACCCAGGAAAATAGGGGGCTTATAAGTGCAGTGGTTATGAGTACCCTGAACCTCCAAGTGGCCCTAAACCCTAAACCCTAAACCCTAAACCCTAAACCCTAAACCCTAAACCCTAAACCCTAAACCCTAATCCAATAAGTACCCTTCTTGGGCTTAGAAGTACCCCGAACCTGCAAGTAGCTGGAAACTGGAAGACCCGCTCCTCACAGCGCTCACAGCGCCACTCGCCGATGACGATGGCGACTCGACGCAGGGCGTACCCTGGAGTCTGAAGAATTATAGAATAAGGCTTTGGGGGCTGTTCTTATGGCACAATATAGTAGAATATGGTATAATATAGTATCATATAGTATAATATAGTATAATATGTAAGGGTCTTTGCGGCTTGCGGCGTTCCAACAGCATCTGCAACTTTACATGGTTGTTCAAGTGGCTTCCTGTGACACGTAGCGCGCTCACGTTGTTGTTGCTAGCCTCGACATATTACGGCTGCAGGAATTCGGCTTTGTAGGCCTGAAATAATCACGAGCCTCAGCTCAAGATTCGGGAAAGGGCAAGCTGGATCGTCACTTAATGCCAAGAATCCAAGGACATGTGATTTGGTCGTCCATTGGCTTGCTTCCATCTTCTTGGACCCTCTGTGACAAACGACTTTCAAGTAGAGCGTCGACTTCCATGAAACATCCTGCCCGCCACTGCATTGCGACTCAAGTTACGCACTCAACGAGAGCAGAAGGGTAAACGACCAAAGGCCCAGGATAACATTATAGAATAAGGTTTTGGGGGCTGTTCTTATAGCACAATATAGTAGAATATAGTATAATATAGCATAAAAATAATAATAGTACTAATAACAACGGGACCCTATAAGGGAATACTACCAGCAAGTATTCCGACCCCCATATTGCTTGCTAAACCGGGCCTGCCACAGCAGCGCAGACGACCTCTGCTGAGGAGCCCAAGCTTTGGGTTTTTTAGGGTTTTCGCAGTGCAACCCTAAACCGTAAACCCTAAACCCTAAACCCTAAACCCTAAACCCTAAACCCTAAACCCTAAAGCCTAACCCTAAAAGTGGAGGACGCCCGCTCAGTAAGAGCTGACGACAGTCATCAACCTATCGTTACTGCCTTACTACGGTATATTGTATGTTGATACTATGGGTTGTACAGCTCTCTAATTTCGTGTCCCTTGTTTTGGGTTCTCCTCTAGAACACGGCACTCTTGTAGTAAGGACCCAAAATGGGACCCCAACTTGTAAAAACGCTCATGTATGTTTTGATATATGTATGTAGAATTGCAGATAACTATTTCCCTGTTTTTGATCGAAGAAACCAGGTGCAAGCTTAGGGTCTTCAAACTGAGTTGCCTTCAAACCACGGTACGGATCTAACTGAACCCAAGAGAAACCTAGGAATAGAAGGCTTATATAGGGTTTAGGGTTAAGGGATTGGGGTTTAGGGTTTAGGGTTTAGGGTTTCGGGTTTCGGGTTTAGGGTTTAGGGTTTAGGGTTATAAACTTCAAGATCTAAGAACGGGAATACGGGCCTACTCTGGGGCTTATGAGGGATCTTGAAACCGCCCACAAAAGGGGGATAACGGCCTAGTCTGGGTCCTAGTTACCCTAAACCCTAAACCTTAAACCCTCAACCCTCAACCTAATGGCGGAGAGCGTCCACTCCTCCGGGGCCCAACGTCAAACCGGCAAAGGCACCTTTGCAGAGTTCAGCCGGGGATTTCTGGGCCTTTTAGGACCAATACACCTAAAATGGGGGGGGGGGGGAGGGGGCGTTGGGGGCCTTTGAAGTAGGGTTTAGGGTTTAGGTTCTAGGGGGTTTAGGGATTAGGGATTAGGGTTTAGGGTTTCGGGTTTAGGGTCTAGGGTTTACGGTTTAGGGTTTGGGGTTTGGGGGGGATGTTCTCCCTTATACAAAAAGTCCTTAAGTAGGAGTTATAGTACGCCTTACTATAGTCCCTATTAAGGACTGTTAGTAGAAGGGGGAACATCCCAACTGAGACACCACATTTCCTTAAACCCTAAAACCACAAATCTCTATAAACCCAAGTGCCTAAATTCCCAAATTAAAGGGATTAGGATGCACGCAACACCCGAAGTAAATTGAAACCCTAAACCTCAAGCCTTACACCCCAGAGGAGAAAGTCAGAGTGGACGGAAACAGCGACCCCGAATATTGTAGGTGGTGCCCGTCCGGGTATGCGCCGGGTGCCCGGGTATGCGCCGGGTGCCCGGGTATGCGCCGGGTATGCGCCGGGTGCCCGGGTATGCGCCGGGTATGCCCGGGTATGCGCTGGGTATGCGCCGGGTGCGCGGGTATGCGCCGGGTATGCGCCGGGTATGCGCCGGGTGCCCGGGCATGCGCCGGGTGCCCGGGTATGCGCTGGGTATGCGCCCGGTGCCCGGGTATGTACTCGGGCGTACTCGTGCGTACTCGTGCGTACTCGTGCGTACTCGTGCGTACTCGTGCGTACTCGGGAGTACTCGTGCGTACTCGTGCGTACTCGGGCGTACTCGTGCGTACTCGGGCGTACTCGTGCGTACTCGTGCGTACTCGTGCGTACTCGGGCGTACTCGGGCGTACTCGGGCGTACTCGTGCGTACTCGGGCGTGCTCGTGCATACTCGGGCGTACTCGTGCGTACTCGGGCGTACTCGTGCGTACTCGGGCGTACTCGTGCGTACTCGGGCGTACTCGTGCGTACTCCGCCGCGGTCGCCCATCCCTGCCGCAATGGAGAAAGTGCCTCAATAAGAATAATGCAACCTTCGCAACCATGGGAGCTTCTATGGTTCCAGGGGTTTAGGGTATAGGGTTCAGGGCTTTATTAGGGTATGGTTATATTATCTTTGATGTATAGCGTGGAAGACTAGATGAAGTTCCATCTGAGGTAGGTTTCATTCGAGCGCCTTTACAAGCCCTGCCCCTACAAAAACACGAAGCCGACTTCTTTGTAGGATCTCCCTATATGACCCTTACGCAACCCACGAAGACGGTAGTCTTACTAGAGTCCTCAGGGATCCCTTGTGAATACATGCATATATATATATATATACATATCCTATAGCCCCTACAACACCATAAACTTTGGAACACCTCGCAGTGCAAAATTCAGAAAAGAAACGGGTTGCTGCAGATGAATCTATTGTGAAGAAAGCAACCGCACGAATTACTGTATGTCCGCATTCTGGCAGCTCAGCCGGAATTGAGCTTACGAAGAGCATTCCAGTTCAATAAGAAGCCAGAAATCCGAGCCAAACGCTTCATACCTTGTAGAATATTTATCATATTTATGATATGATTAGGGACCAGAAGGGAACACTATTAAGTACTCAAACAAATCTCTATATATATATACATATTAAAATCATTATATATATATATATATACATATTAAAATCATTATTCTAATATATGTATATATATATATATATATATATATGGTAAGCCAAAAAAATATATACATATATACATACATACATACATACATACATACATACATACATACATACATACATACATACATACATACATACATACATGTTACCATGCCCGAGGCGCCGAAGGCAGCGCCAAAGAGGGCGCGGCTTTCCCGGATGGTGACTGTGGCATCGCTGCCTGTTTCAGTCTGTGCTTCAGAGACGACTTTCGGGCCTACAGGGCTTAGGGTTTGGGGTTTGGGGTTTGGGGTTTAGGGTGTAGGCTTATTTAGGGTTTAGGGTTTAGGGTTTGGGGTTTAGGGTTTAGGGTTTCGGGGCTTGGCGCTTAGAACCTTTTTGGCCTATAGAGGGTCCATCTGTAGTACGAAGTGCCCCAACACCCCCCCCCCCCCCCCCCCCCCACTTTGTATGGGTTTTGGGGCGCACTGCGCATTGACCCTCTGGGAAGCGAAATGACAAGGCTGTTTAGGGCTCTGAAATCTATGCCTACAGGGCTTTCAGGGCCTAGGGCCTAGGGGAGTTGAGGGGTGGTCCTGGGGTAGGGTTGCATGGCTTTGGTGTCTTAGGGTGGTGGGAAGCGTGCCTGACCCCTAAATCCCAGAGCCATAAACCCAATCAAGCCCGAGAAACTTCCGTGGTGGTTCATGGCATCGGCTACATTCGCACTCTCCCCGACTCTGAACTGTTCCTACTTTCGTGCTGCACGGAAGCCCTGCAACAGCCTTTTCAAATCATCGCTGTGGAACTTGGGCACACGAATGTGTGGTTGACAGGAGCTGTTCGTGCTGCCTTTGATGTCGTACCAAAACACGGCTTTTTGACATGGCCTGTCTTGGAGCTTGCGGCTGTCATGGGTGCCGCACACCAGCTCGTCTCCTTCCTTGCTCATGGTGTCGGGCTGCACCGGACCTTGCAGCAGCTTGCCCCGAGCCGGCAACGCAGGGCCTTACTTCGCTTGAACACAGAACCCTAAACACTACCGGCCCTAAGCAAAGCAACCTATGAACCCAAACCTAAACACCCTATGCCTTAAAGCCCCATTCACCTTACTGACCCAAGACCTTACAAACCACAAACCCTGAACCTTACAACTCCACAACCACCACAAACCCATAAACCCTACAACCCGTACAAACCCAACAAAGCCTATTTTAAGCCCGAAACCCAAAAAACCCTGAACCCTATGCACCCTCTAAACCCATTAAACCCTGTAAACCCCACGAACCCTAACAGCCCTAAGCTCTAAACCCGAAACCCTAAACCCCACCAAAGCCCTAATCCTATAAACCCTAAACCCGAACCCCTAAACTCAAAAAACCTAAACCCATCAACCCTAAACCATGTAAGCCCTACACCCTAACAACTTGGGATATTCCCCTCATAAACTCCCTAAACCCTAAGCCCTAACAACCCTCTGAGCCACGGAGAGTTGGGCGCCTTGAGCCAGGATGGACCCATAGGCCTTGGCACGGAAGCGAAGCTGGCCCTGCCGGGACGGGAGAAGGTTTAGGGTTTAGGGTTTAGGGTTTAGGGTTTAGGGTTCAGGGTTAGGGTTTAGAGTTTGGGGTTTAGGGCCTAGGGTTTGGGTTTCAGTGGCCTGTATCTTCAGAATCCCTGTACGCAGCGCTACGTCCGCATAAGCGGCGGTCAGTTGGAACATTCGCCTTGGGATGTTCCCCTTTCTACTAACAGTCCTTAATAGGGATCATAATATCTTCTGTTGCAATCCCCATTAAGGACTGTTAGTATAAGGGAGAGCATCCCAAAGCAAACCCCTGATTCTCAAACGACCCCCAAGCTCCCAAGCCCCAAACAATCCTGAGCCCCTAAAACGCCTAAACAACCCTGCAAACACCAAAAGTAAATAACAACAATAATTCCACCACCGAAGACCCCAAACAGTCAAAGGCACGTCAAAGAAACAGTGGAGACGACGGGAGACGAAGGGAGACAAAGTGAGGCGAGGAACACAGCAACCCGACGAAGCCACCCACATGAAGGGAGACCAAGGGCGACCAACCGAAACAAAGGGAGACAAGGAGCCCAGGAACCCGGCAACAGTCCTCAGAATGTCAGCAATCCTTAAATGAATTTTGAACCCCAACATTAGATTGTTTTGGGAAAAATAGGCTAACTATTAAAATCAGTAAAAAAACACATAAACAAGTACATAATTACAAGCAAATAAATTTAAAAAAAACAACTAATATATATGTATAGATATATATACACGAGCCCTGCACCCTATTGGAAAATATTAATACAGATTCATATACATATACATACACGCACACACACATATATAATATCATAGACTATCATATAATGTATTATAACATAACATAACATAATATAATATAATATAATATAATATAATGTAATATAATACATATTATGTATGAACCCTATAAACCCTTGAAACCAAAAAAACGCGTCCGCGTGCGCCTCGGGGAGCCACAGGTCGTCGCGGCGGAAGCCGCTCGTCGTCAGGAAGAAGCGCACGAGCCGCGGGTCCTCGCACTCCAAGAGTCATGGGTTCCCAAGGGTTTAGGGTTTAGGGTTTAGGGTTTCGGGTTTAGGGGTACTACGCCCCTCTACCCCCCCCAGGTTTCCCCCCATAATTAAGGCTATTTAGGGATACAAGCCTACATAAGGCTATTTAAGGGCGGAGCCTAGGGGGGCTGGGGGGTAGTATAGAGGGGGTAGTAGGGGAACCCATGAAAGGTTTTCATGGGACTCTCTTTACCACAGTTTCATGGGGTACACTTATTAAGTAAGGGGTAGTTACTACTGAACTGTAGGCAAATAGAGTGCCAGGTAGGGTTCACGCACCCTAAGAAGAAATATAGTAGTATAGGGTGTAGGTCCCAATTTTGGGGTTCATTAATTAATCTAAGCGGGATTATAGTAGTCTTGGACATAGGGTCCCAAATTTTTCAGGGTTCATATAATCTAATTGGGATTCTAGTAGTATAGGGTAACACACGGCTTCGGGATTTTTAGGGCCTTTGGCCGGGCTATTCTGAGGGTTTGAAGGCGGCTTGTAAGGTTTTTGGGCTTTAGGGTTTTAGGGCTGAGGGTTTGAGAGGCTTTGGGGGTTTGGGAGCTCAGTAGGGCTTTAAGGGCTTTCAGGACGTAGGGATTTAGGAGGTTTAGGGGTTAGGGGGTAGGGTGTGGGGTTGCAGGGTTTTGGGTCTTTGGGGTCCACCCCAAAACACCCCTGACCAGTTGACCACTGTTCCCTAAACCCTAAACCCTAAACCCTAAACCCCAAACCCCAAACCCCAAACCCCAAACCCTAAACCGTAAAACCCAAAACCCTAAAACCCTAAACCCTAAAACCCTAGATTGCCAGCAGATCTGCTGGGAATCAATCCAACTGGCTCCATGGGTGCACGTGGCCCTGATGTTGGGCCCCGGCCCTTGCGGTCTCGTTGTTGCTGTACATGGAGACCCTAATCCCTAAACCCTAAACCCTAAACCCGGAGGTTCATGGTACTTAGTAACCAATTATACTGGGTTTAGGGTTCAGGGTGTCGGGGTTTAGGGTTTAGGGGTAGCTGAACTTATAACTGTACTTAGAATATAACCATATTAGGGCACTTAAGGGGCTTTTGAGTGGGTTATAAGTGCAGGTAGAATTGGTGAATAAGTACCATGAACCTCCAAGTACTCCCAAGCATCGCCCACCGCTCCCATGGCATAGCCTCGTCGCCGATCTGCTTTATCCTCTGAACCTCAAGAGCTGGGCACAACGGCCCAGGACTGACGGAAGTCCCTAAACCCTAAACCCCTAAACCTAAATCCTAAACCCTAAACCCTAGACCCCTGAGCCTAGACCCTAACCCTGAACCCTAAACCCTGAGCAATGCTCCCACACGGCGTTATACCCTTAACCCTTGAGGCCAGACAGCTCTTAAGTAAATGCCGGGGGCACTGCCGCTGCTAGCCTTTTGGATAGGAATCCCCGCCCCAGCCCCTGCCCGAACAGTACTACACTGGGGGGGGGGGGGGGGGGGGCTGGCACCCTAAACCCTAAACCCTAAATCCTAAACCCTAAACCCCAAACCCTAAACCCCAACCCTAAAGTTTGAGGAATTGGGGAAAAGGACTCTTCGAGGTGCTATCGGGTCTCTCCAGTCCTCCGCAGCAACTTCCCAGCGCCCTGGGAGCAACGAAGGGGGCTGCCAGGTTTAGGGTTTAGAGTTTGGATCCACCCACTGGTGGTGCCATCCATGCCTCCCTGATTCTCAGACGAGATGCCGAAACCCCAAGGGGGCTTACGAAAACAGGGGACCCCTAATATAGACCCCCCAAATAGTATAATAAGGTACCTCAAGAAGGTACCCTACCAATTTCTGAACCCCCCCATAAACCTTCCCCAGCCCCAAACCCTACAACCCCACCCCCCCCCCCCCCCCCAAAAAAAAAAGAAAAAAAAAAAGAGGCGGCACCTAAACCCTAAAAACACGAAACCCCAATCAACCCGAAACCCTAAACAACCCTGATCCCGAAAAGCCCCCATGAAGGCCCTGAGCCAGACCCAACAACTTACCTCAGGATCGCAGCGTAGAAGCCCCCAAAGGCCCCCCCAGGCCCTGAATCCGAACCCCTAAACCCTGAACCCTGAACGCTGAACCCTAAACCCTAAACCCTAAACCCTAAACCCTAAACCCTAAACCCTGTGCCTTCGGTGATGGTGGGCTTGAGCGGCCTCTCTGGCCTCTGTTCAGGGGTTCTAGGGGGTGTAGGTTTAGGGCTTTAGGAGTTTAGAGGGCTTAGGGGCATTTTAGGAGTTTCAGGGGGTTTAGGGGGTTTTGGGGCGTTTCTGGCGTTTAGGGCTTTAGGGAGTTTAGGGGGTTCAATCTTTCAATTGAAGCCTTTCGGGCCCTAGCTGACTCATCCAAGATGTCGAGGTCCAGGGGTTAGGGTTTTGGGGGCTCAGCGCCAGTTTATAAGAGTTTACGCCTTGAGGGGTCAGGGGTTTTGTGGAGAGGTTAGGTTTTTCCGAATGGTCTCAGCACAAGGGTGATTCGGTGCGACTTTCTGCGCATGCCGAACTACCACGTCTCCTGCTCGCAGGAGAGGCTGCTGTTCAATAACATGCCGGACCTGGGAAATTCCCCGGATAGGGAACCCCTTGTATACCACAAGCAGAATCTCCTTAAAGGGACCCCCCAAAAGGGTAACCCCCATCTCACATGTGTGTCTTTTCCAAGATTGCCAATGGGAAGAGGTTGAGCCGTTTCCTTTCATGGCCCAGAGCCCAAAGCCCTAAACTCGAAACCCTAAGCCATGCATGAACCGACAAATTGCACGTGCACAGCTCCCGAGTGGCTGCCCTGAATCGTCGCCCAGGCTTTAGGGTTCAGGTTGAGGGTTTAGGGTTTAGGGTTTAGGGTATAGGGTTTAGGGTTTAGGGTTTTAGGGCTACCACTATCAAGTGGAAAGAGATTGTGAGGCTTAGGTTTTGGGGGTAAAGGGGCTTAGGGTTTAGGGCAGAATAGAGTTTAAGTTTAAGGGTGTGCGTTTAAGGTTTGCAGGCCTTCAGGTTTGGAGTCTAGAGGGCCTCGGGATTCAGGAATTCTGATTCCACAACCCTAAGCCGTAAGCCCTAAGCCCTAAACCCTAAGCCCTAAGCCCTAAACCCTAAGCCCTTCTTCCATGCTGCCTCTCACTCCCCAAGGCCCCTGCCCCTGAGGAAACAAGGCCGCCAGAAGAGCGAAGGACTTCACGAAGCTGGGCACCTTGAAGGGCAAGCGGTAGGGTTTAGGGTTTAGGGTTTAGGGTTTAGGGTTTAGGGTTTAGGGTTTAGGGATTAGGGTTTAGGGCTTATCTTCCTTGGAGATGAAGGGCTTGTAGGGTTATAAGCTGGAGCTGCAACTTCAACGAGATTGAGGTGCCCCTTGGTCTCAGTTCGGCCCAAATAAGGTCCAAAACCTCGGAACCCAAGCAAAAGCTTTGTAGCCCAGTAACCATCTTATGATAAGGGCACCCTTTTCTTGTTGGTTACTTTATAAGGGAGACCAGCAGCAAAAAAAGGGAAAAGGGTACCACTGGCTACCAAGAAAGACCCTTCAGCCTAGGAATGCTGCGCGCACCCTTTGTTGCTCAATAGGGTGTGGAAATCAGGAACCTCGCCCTCAAACGAGGGGAAAGCGCAAAGTTCTGGGGAACCTAGCAGCCCAAACCGTAAACGCCCTAAACCCCAAACCCTAAACGCCCTAAACCCTAAACCCTGAACCCTGAACCCTGAACCCTAAACCCTAAACCCTAAACCCTAAACCCTAAACCCTAAACCAAGGCCTCATCGGGGGCGAGCCAGTCGCCCAGGAAGTCCCCCACTCCCACGACCTCCAGCGCGCCGCCCGGCGCAAACTCCACCTGGGTTCGATGAGTCCGTTCAGGACTAAATGAACCCTGAACCTCAGGGGTTTAGGGTTTAGGGTTTAGGGTTTGGGGTTTTGGGGTTTAGGAACAGGTTGTTGCAGTTTCACAGTAAGAATAATCAGAATAAGAAAATAGCAATAGTAATAGAAAATAATAGAACTACTGAAAACACATTAACATTTTTATAGTAATCAAAATAATTGTAGGGTTGGAGCAAAGCCCACGACTAACCCTTCTCCCTAACCCCCTAGGCCCCAGCAAGCCAGTGTCAACTGGTGGCGAGAGGGGTCGGTGACATATGGTGACATCAGACACCGTGCGGAGCCGTGCAAATTTAGCATCAAGAAGTACACAACAGAAAGGGAGGCTGTGCAGGGTACAACACTTCTCATCGGCCAAAACTGTCGGGTCACGCCCCCCCCCCCCCCCCACAAAAAAAAAAAAAAAAAAAAAAAACCTGCTCAAAACCCCTCCAAAACTCCGGACATGAACCCTAATTTGGGTTACAACTTCTATTGAAAGCAACAAAGAGTTACAGAAACCTAAAATCCTGAGAGGGTAAATGCCGCCAGACTGCTGCCACGGGCAGCTCGAGTCGGCTGCCGATGGCAGCCCAACTGAAGGGCATCCTCGTCTTTGTTCTGCCCGTTTTGGTTAGGGTTAGGGTTTGGGGTTTAGGGGTTAGGGTTTAGGGTTTAGGGTTTAGGGTTTAGGGGTTTAGGGGTTTAGGGGTTTAGGGGTTTAGGGGTTTAGGGTTAGGGGTTAGGGGTTTAGGGGTTTAGGGGTTTAGGGGGGGTTAGGGTTTAGGGGTTTAGGGGTTTAGGGGTTTAGGGGTTTAGGGGTTTAGGGGTTTAGGGGTTTAGGGGTTTAGGGGTTTAGGAGTTTAGGGGTTTATACGTCTACTTATAACCTACTTGAGGGACTTAGAAGGCTTAGAAGTGCAGCTATAATTGGGGAGATAAGTACCCATAAATGCTCTAAACCCTAAACCCTAAACCCTAAACCCTAAACCCTAAACCCTAAACCCTAAACCCTAAACCCTAAACCCTGAACCCTTGTTGAGCGACAGAAGTTGATCGCAGCCGCGGAGCATCGTGAAGGTGGTACGGCCAATGTCCAACATCAGCTTCCATCCTCGGAGACTAGGGTTTAGGGCTTAGGGTTTAGGGTTTAGGGCTAGGGTTTAGGGTGAAAAAGTCCTCATAAAACTGTAAACCTGACCACACTACGCCGAAAATGTGGAAATATCTTTGCCTGGAATCTTTCTCCTGTAGTCCCTTTGGAACATTCAATTCCTGCAAATTGGAAAGCGTAGGATAACGTGCACTAGGTCTCAAATTTCTCAATAACGGTCCCTATGGTTTATCTCATTTCGCTACACTAGGTCGTTTGGGAAGCTGTACAAGTCATACGACTAATGGATGCTTTAGTACTAAAGAGAATAGTACTAGCGTTCCCTTTGATTTTTTTGGTTGATTTTCTTTTAGCCCTTGACAGGCTGCAAGACTCACGAAACAAAGGAACTAGAACGGACCCTCGAGTCATAAGTAGTTTATCTCTAGTTCACCATTCTGGGCCGTTGTGATCCCATGCTTAGGTTCTTCACTCACCTTTCACGGAGACCCAAAAGACCGGACCTACAACATAGGTCGTAGGAACCCTAAACCCCACGCTTGGGAAGGTCCCCCTTATACTAGCAGGCCTTCATAGGGATTCTAGTACCCCTTATTATGAACCCTATTAAGGACTGTTAGAAAAAGGGGGAACATCCCAACCCCAAACCCTGAACAACCAAAATCTTGCGAAGCAAAAGAAGCACTTCGGTCATCCCCCCCCCTTGTCTAGTTTTCAAATGTAAACGAAGGGTTGACCGTGACGAGGCTACCGAACTCTAAGCAAGTTATACCCTATTTAAAATCAACCCGAAGCCCTAAACCCCAAACCCTCAAACCCTTAAACCCCAACCCCCCCCCCCCACCCCTAAAAACCCCCCACATAAACCCCAAGCTCTAAGAAGGCCATACAGACATTTCCCAAAATAGGGGTACCCCTTTTATACCCAAAAAACACTGTATAATCCATGTAGAGGAACCGCCCCAAAGGGTACCCCTATTTATGAACTAGACCTAAACCCTAAACTTTCCTAAGCCCTAAGCCCTAAGCCCTAAGCCCTAAGCCCTAAGCCCTAAGCCCTAAGCCCTAAGCCCTAAACCCTAAACCCTAAACCCTAAACCGTAAAAACCAGAACGGCCCTAAACCCTAAGCCCTAAACGGCCCTAAACCCTAAACCCTAAACCTAGTTGTAAGCCCCCAAGCTCTAAGAAGGCCGGAGCGGCGAGTCCCTTCGAGCTGCGGGGTGGGGAGTGCCCCGCGTGCGGCGGCTGCCGGGGGAAGGATCGGGATTAGGGTTTAGGGTTTAGGGCTTAGGGTTTAGGGTTTAGGGTTTAGGGTTTAGGGTTTAGGATTAAGGGTTTAGGGTTTAGGGTTTAGGATTCGGGGTTTAGGGTTTAGGGTTTCGGGGTTAGGGTTTCGCTTGGGGAGGTATTTGAAGCCTACAGTATTTTGAGCCTAAAGATTGGGGGGCTTGAGTGGCTTGGCTAGGGGCCGAAGTCCAGTAGCCTGGGACTGACTCCAAAAGAACTGACCTTTGTTCTTCTGCGGTTTAGGGCTAAAGGCTTGGGGTTTAGGGCCTCAAATTCGTAAGCAACCCCCCCTGAGCCGGCAACCTTCTCAAAGGCCCCTGACCTCTTTAGGGTTTAAGGTTTAGGGTTTAGGGTTTGGGGTTTAGGGCATTTATACGATCTAGAATCCCTACGAAGCCTATAGAAACCCTAAGTCCTAAACCCTGCTCTTTTGTTGTTAACTTGGTAGCCCAGCAATACCATGTTTAGTAAGGGTACCCTTTCTGGTGCTACTTCCTTTTGTCAGGGAACCCCCTAGACCCTGAACCCTAAAGCCCAAACCCTAAACCCCAAACCTCAAACCCTAAACCCATAACCCAAAAAAGCCAAGAGGGCACCACTCAGCTCCCAAAACCCCAACCCCTCAACCTTCAACCCTAAACCCTAAACCCCTAAACCCCTAAACCCCTAAACCCTAAACCCCTAAACCCCTAAACCCCTGAACCCAAAACCCAAAACCCAAAACCCTAAACCCCAAGTTCAACTGAAGAAGGCCGACACCTGCACTCGCCTCTTCGTGCTGTCAGCGGTCGAGCCCTGAGCGGAGCCTGGCTGGACTTAGGGTTAAGGGTTAAGGGATAAGGGTTAAGGGTTTAGGGTTTAGGAATTTTAGGGTTTTTAGGGGTTTTAGGGTTTTAGGGTTTTAGGGTTTAGGGTTTTAGGGCTTCAGGGTTTTAGGGTTTTAAGGGTTTTAAGGGTTTTAGGGTTTGGGGTTTTAGGGTTTTAGTGTTTTAGTTTTAGGGTTTTAGGGTTTTAGGGTTTCAGGGTTTCAGGGTTTTAGGGTTTTAGGGCTTTAGGGCTTTAGGGCTTTAGGGCTTTAGGGCTTTAGGGCTTTAGGGCTTTAGGGTTTTAGGGTTTTAGGGTTTTAGGGTTTTAGGGTTTAAGGGTTTAAGGGTTTTAGGGTTTTAGGGTTTTAGGGTTTAGGGTTTTAGGGTTTTAGGGTCTTAGGGTTTTAGGGTTTTAGGGTTTTAGGGTTTTAGGGTTTTAGGGTTTTAGGGTTTTAGGGTTTTAGGGTTTTAGGGTTTTAAGGTTTTAGGGTTTAGGGTTTACGGCTTGTTTGGGGTTCAGGGTTTGGGGGTTAGGGTTTAGGGTTTAGAGTTTCAGGGTTCCGGGTTTAGGTTACAGGGTCTGTAGGGTTGAAAGGGCCCTAGATCCCACAAACCCCCTTTAACACTTGACAAAAAAAACAGATCCCTATAAAAGCCATGAAGCCATGAACGTTAGTCAACATAGCAGCCCTAAACCCTATACCCTATAAGCCCTTAAAAGCCGCTCTCCACCCCCCCCCCCCCCCTCCTTCCAACCCTAAACCCTAAACCCAAAACCCTCAACCGCCCGTCCCCGGCTCATTACTTCTCGGCACGTTTGAAAAAGCTAGCTTATCCCAAGTAGCTCAAGACCCGAAACCCTAGACACCCTAGAATCCTCGCACCCCGCGACGGGCCTGCAGCACGCCGGGTGCAGGCGAGATCAGCAGCGATGGCCACATGCTTATGATTCGGACACTTCGGGGTTCTGCAAGCCCGCGCGGGTTTGAGATTGAGGACGTGGTGGGGTTTAAGGGCTTAGGCTTGAAAGAAAGCTTGGGCTGAGGTGTGGGCTTTAATCCGAGTCCATGGCTCCACTTCAGGGTGTGGCCCTTCAAAGTGAAGGTTATGTGGGATGACAGTTTGTCGTCGTGTGGCGCGAGGTGAACCATCAAATGGTCTGAGCGTTCTTCGAGTGCACACTTCTCCGGTCCGAGTGTGCCCGCCCGCATCCTTTTCCCCTCCATGTACCCATTTGAAATATACTTGGGCCCTAAAGCTACTATATAGGAACCCCTCTAAGGCCCAAGTATCTTCTCTGAACCCTAATTAAACCCTAAACCCTAAACCCTAACCCTAAACCCTTCAAACCCTTCAAACCCTTCAAACCCTTCAAACCCTTCAAACCCTTCAAACCCTTCAAACCCTTCAAACCCTTCAAACCCTAAACTTCAAACCCTATACCCTAAACCCCTTCGGCCCCTCGGGGCACTCAGGGCGGGAGAGGCGTAGATCCGTCTCAAAATTGGGGTATGGTAGTAAATTTCAAGGGACCACGAGGGAATACTGTTGAATTAAAATAATTAGAATAGTGTTTTGGAGTCTTTGTTTAGTATATTTTTAAAAAGGGACCATAAGGGAATACTGTTGAATTAGTAACTATTCCGACCCCTACATTCATTATTCGCGTCGTGCGTGACTGGAGAAATGCCTGAATCTGTTGGGTTCGAATGAACATAGTTGCTGAGTAGCGCTATAGGGGATTAAAGCAACCCAAAAAGTGCAAACTGTACTCTTTCGGATACTAAGTTAAGGGTTAGGGATTAGGCTCTTGGATAATCTTCCAGCCTTTGTGTAGGGCAACTCACAATGACCCCAAAACGTCTAAGCAGGACAAACACCATAACCTGGTCATCCATAATGTAGGAGCCTGAATAATTAGAATAGGGTTTTGGAGTTTTTGTTTAGTATAATTACAAAGGGACCATAAGGGAATCTTCTTAGTAATTATTCCGACCCTATATTGGCCCTAAACTAGGCAAACTTTGAGAACTTCCACATCATACCCCCCGACCCACTTTCTGCAATCCCGCTTGGTAGCTCAGCAACCATATCACACTAAGGGTACCCTTTTTGGGGGGGTTGGTTACTTTACAAGGGAGCCTTGAACCAACAATAGGATTTTACCACCGGGCTACCAAGCAAAACAGCTCTAAACCCTAAACCCTAAACCCTAAACCCTAAACCCTAAACCCTAAACCCTAAACCCTAAACCCTAAACCCAATGCCAGAAAAAGGAGGCGCAGGGCTGGGAGCACCGTCGCCGCGCGGCGCCCGTCTGTCGCTCCTCTTCAGGGAGTTTGGGTGCTTGGGTCTTGGTGTTTCGGCGATGTTTTCCCTGAACCCCTATTTCCTGCCGCCTCGGCCGCTTCAAGTGCTCCTACTGCTTCTACCGCTCCTTCTACTCCCGCTTGTCGGCTACCCCGCTACTCCTACCCCTCCTCCTCGACCTCCTCCTCCTCCTGTTGCTGCTATAATGCTGACTGCGTTGGGACAGTTAAGGACTACTTGTCCCAGAGGGTCCATTTGTAGTACCCTTATGGAATTAGGTACCCAAAAACCTTAAATTTGGTATGATTTTCGGGTGCCTAGTTCCATAAAACAGTACTGCTACCACAGCTACGGCCACGCTTGCTGCTCGGAAGCCAAAGTCCCGAAAGCCATAATAACCTTTCAACCTCAGAGTGTTTAGGGTTGAGGGTTTAGGGTTGGGGGTTGAGGGTTTAGGGTTTAGGGTTGAGGGTTTAGGGTTGAGGGTTGAGGGTTGAGGGTTCAGTGTTTAGGGTTGAGGCTCTTCATCATCTTCAACCCCAAGTCCATCTTTCCTAGGGTCTTCGAGACATGCAATCGTACTTATTCTGAAACCCTAAACCTTAACCCTAAACCACTGATCTTTGAGTCAAGTCAAGAGCCTAGAACGCACTGCATGGATTCGGGATTGTCAGGGTTTAGTTGCCCCATCAACCCCTACGCCCTAAAGGTTTAGGGGTTTAGGGCTAGGGTTTAGGGTTTAGGGTTCA